TCGTTCCACGGGAACATTACCTAATAGAAGGAATCGAGATTCCAAAGGCTATAAAAACTCCGAGCTAAAAGGATTTCCATTCAACGACTGTTCTCAGGTACCCAGCTGCCACAAGCAGTGATTCTTCAGAGACCTGGGGGGTGGGTCCGTGGCATGCTCAGAAAGAGGCAGGTTGTCTGACCCAAAAGAACATATACTCATCCCCAGCACCTGCGGCTGGTCCCCAATGCTGTCACAGAACACACATCCACACCACAGAAAAATCCAGGGAAACACATACGTTCAAGACTAATAATTCTAATTGCTTGGGGAGGGGGGGGTGGCTGGGAGGGGAGGGGAAGGAAAAGAATATATTAAAAAAGGAAGAAAGAAAATAGCCCCCTCTCTGCCAAGTGAAGGATTATAAATCAATGACAATAGCTTGAAAATAGATTTCTCAAACTTATATTCTCATTCTGTCCTGCACGACTCTCTGCAGGAAAATCAATATTACAACTTCACACTTAAGACATTGTGCAGCAAGGCCCGGCTCCCAGCCATTGTAGCGGAGGCGCGGTACAGCGATGACACAGACACAGAGCGCCCCCTAGCCGCCAAGCACAGCCAGACTCGCCTCCGAGAGGCAGGTTTGCCATGAAGCAAAAGCCAATTTCCACTGAAAGTTTATTTTGAAAAGTATTTTATCACAACAAGCAACAGAGAGTGCAACGCAATCGACAGAGGAGCTGTAACGGGGGTAAGTAAAGGCGGGTACAAGTCACGTTCTGTGCTATAAGACCATGCAGAAGTCAAATTCGGATAAGATTGCTAGAAAGTAGTATATGCCATAGATGGAAACTAGGACCTTGTAATCCAACGGCAGGGTAGCTTCCATCTCACCTGAGATAACAGTCTAATTATTGTCAAATGCACCCTCTGGCCAAGGAAGACCCACGCAGTCCTGCAGTGGTCAGCTGAGCATCTCACCCAACAACCTACCCTCACCTCCCTCCATGTTTTTAAGGCCAGCTCCCAGTGCGGCTGTTATTTACCCTCACCCCGAGCAAGGACTCCTTTCTGTTACGAAAGATTTCCAAGGCCAGTCAAAAATCACCAAGGGGAAGGCGGATAGCAACCTCCTCTCTTCTCTCCTCCAAAAGAAACATGGATTATGTACAAAATCTTGGGGGGGAAGGGCAATACCCTTTAAAAATATTAGAGGTTGTTAAAATATGGTCAGGGCTGTTTTCTCTCAGGTGTGAATTACAAATGAGTAAAATCAGCCTGGCATAACACCTCTGATGAACACATGTTTATTCTCCCGTGGAATCAGAGCAGCTGACATATCGCACTTCTAACGATATGGGGCTCCCTTCTGCGCAGAGGAAGGCAAACTTCACGGCCCCCACCAACTACCCCAAAAAAGAAAATACGGGGAGGGGGACAAAAGAGGACCTGCCTGTATTAGGAGATGTATGGCCCAGTCTGAAAAGGCAAGTAGGCTCTCCCTCTGGAGAGTTCAGATCATTGTGAGTGAGCACAAACACCTTCAAAACACACAGCTACAGCAAAAACCAATTTAGAAGGCAAGCATAGAATTAACACAGTTAGCCTAACTTCCGTGTCAAATCTTGGGGCTGACTAGGCTTGGGGAAAAAAAATCATGAATTCATAAGGAAAATTACTGATCTTCCCAGGAAACCTGTTGGTGGGCTGTTGAAAAATGGCCTGCAGTAATTTCGCCTGGACATCTTATTTCCTGACATTTCTTCGTAAAACCTGAAGCTTCTCCAGAGACTCAAAACACATTTCCTGCTCCCTTGGCCTGAGTGGCATCTCCGGCTCTTGGTCTTCTCCTTGCTCAGAGGCTACTCCTTACCTCCTTTCAGTATTGTCCCTGGGTTGTTTTTTGTGTTTGTTTTTATTAATAGCTGTGTCTGCCCTCTGCTTTGCAAAGCCATCTCCATCTGGGTCAAACCTTTTGAAACAAACCAGAAGCCCAGGTTTTTTCCTCCAGCTGTCTTACTCACTCTTTTCTACCTTACTCTTCTCACCGGCTCTGTCTGCATATTGAGCTAGCTCAACATGAAGTCTTGCTCCCTGAACCTAGACCACGGATGCTGTTTTCATGTTCTTCTGCTTTCCCAGGCCATCAGTTATCCTGGGTTACATCACCCCTAAAAAAAAATCGAAGCTCTGCCCCACAGGCCTGCAAGGCTGCCACGCAAACGATAGCGATGAGCCGCCTTTTTGGTGGTCTCTTTCATATATGCAATCTCAAATGGGAACCCCCCCTCCACCTCCACTGGGGGCTGTGACTGCCCCTGCTTTGCTAGGTACCCCCCCAGCAGCCCTAAATCCAGGGGCTACTCGGTCCCCAGGCTATGTTGCTTCAAGTGCACCCTATTCCTTCCTTTGCTTTGCTTGCTCCTACCTCCTGGGTGACACAGGACAGACAGAAAAGCCAGCTGCTTTTTTTTTTTTTTTTAAATAATAAGTAGCCTTGTCTAAGAACTGGTTGGACCACTCTCCCTGCTTAAACCCCTGCACAAAGCCAGGCTCCCACTGTCCCTGGAAGGCAGGCAGGATTGCTTTGGCCCTTATCCTCTTCCTTTCCCTCCCTGCCACCATGCCAGTGTCCGCTGGTTTTCCCCAGGCAGCTCTGAGAAGGCTGAGGCCGTGCACAAGTGCAGGATAGGAGGATGTGGCCTTGCCCCCAGGCTCAGCTGCCCACTGGTCCTCCTGGCCAAGGCTCGCTCCTGATGCGGGGGGGGGGGGGGGGATGCCAGGAGAGGGAAAGCAAAAGCAGAGCACACCTACCTGCCTCCTTCCCCTTACACACAACTGTATTCGCTCCTGGTTCTTGTCACCGCTGCCAGCCTGGAAGCACATCCCCAACATCTCCCCCCTTTGTAGACCCCCAACACACACACACACACACACACACACACACACACATATCTCCCCTCCTCAAAAACAACCTTTGCAATTAGACAGAGGCTCTGTGGGGCAAACTGCCTCCTGGAGAAAACTAGACATGGTCGAGAAGAGAGATCTGAAAGACCACCCCAGCCAAAGCGCTGCCCACGGCTGGAGAAAGGAATTTTTTAAAAAATGTCAACTGGCAGAAAAAGACCCCAATCACACCCGGCTCAAATCTAGATGCAAAAATACAATAAAACAGCTGATTTTAATCGCAGCCCAGCAAGTCGTCTTTGGTATTACAATAGCAAACCGTCACAATTAATAATAAGAGATCCTCTTCCCTTCTCCAAAAGCCATCTCCCCTCTCCCCAGAACCCGGTGAAAATACCTAATCCTTCCCTCCCCCGCCCTGAAAATAATACTTAACAACAATAAATAATAATAAATCCACAAATTCTTACTAACACGTTTGAGTAACAAAGGAGAGAACCCCAAGGCAACACTGCTCCGAGCAGATGGCTCCTCGGCGGAGTTTCCAGGGGAGGGGAGAACCCCTTTATATATTTATTTATTTATTTAAATTTTTTAAAATATAACATAAATATTCCGGCTGTCGGCCGCCTCCGGGCAGCCAGG